GGGCAGCCTACTTCTCCCTCACCCTCCTACTGTTCCCCCAGCTTGTGCTCTCTTGCTCTGTCAAATAAATAAATAAAATCTTAAAAAAAAAAAAAGATCGCGGGGCACCTGACTGGCTCAGATGGAACACACGACTCTCAATCTTAGGGTCGTGAGTTCAAGCCCCATGTTGGGTGTTGAGATTACTAAAAGAAAAAAAAAAGAATTTAAAAAAATAGATCTCTTACAGTCACCTTGGCTAAATCTACAGAAATCACTTGATCTTAGCCAAAAGGCCGAGAAGTGATTAAATCTACAGGAATCAGATATAAACTTAATAGTTCCAGATTCTTAGTTTTTTCTTTATGAACTAAAGCCTCAACTATTTTTGTAGACTTTTTTTTTAAATCAAGTGAGAAACATAAATCCTTCCAACATTCATAGGAAATCTCTACAAAGCAGACAAAAAAAAAGTATACAGCATGACTCGTGGAATTAATAAACTATAACTCCTTATACCACCTTCAGTTTTTAGACTTTAATTTAAATAAGGCTGACAATGACCTAAAATCATTCCTAAAACAGCAAACTCTACCTCTAAAAGTTACAAAGAAATCAAGTTTATAACTATATTGAGAAAAATGAAAATCAAGTACTAATAATCTCCAGCTGATAACAAAAGCAAAACAATATTGACATAACAGACACTAATACCAAAAAATGACCTGGACATTAAACTGTTTCACAGGATAGAATCAAGGGGCTAAAAACTGCAAATAAACTTCAAAAGCTTATAGTCAACTAGAAATATAAAAGATGGACTCTCTAGATATATCACTGAAAGTAACAGCTGGATGATATACTATATAAATAATTTTTTAAAAAACATTAAAAATTACACTTACAGGAGTAAACACTGCATAAATCACATAAGCACATTTCTTCAGTTTCCGTTCACATTTCTAGTCCATGACAATCAAAACAAGTGAATACTTGGAAGATAGCACTGTTCAAGGCAGATTTCCCACAGAGAACAAAAAAGAAGTAATTTCTCAACCCCCAGAACTCATTAAAAAGCAATATATACCTAGTCACGTGTAAAGAAAGGAATTTACAACCTTCAAAAACTAACCACTGCTAATAGCCAGTGGACCGATGATTTAATCCAGGAAGGCAGATCTAATCAGAGCCTATGTTGCAGCATTTAGCCAAGATGGCCCTGATAACACTGAGAATATCACTTACTTTTGACATAAACAGTACTTCCACTTGGCAAGACAACTACATTGGAGGCAGGACTGGCAGGTCTTGGAGACTTAACCGTCGCTATGCTGCCACTTGGAACAGGGGTAGAGGTTGGGGTTGACGTGGTACTTGTGTAGGAATAGCAAACCACTACTGAAGGAACGATAAAAAAGTTTGCTGTTAACTTTCACCAAAACTGTCCACGCATATACATAAAAATAATTTTTTTACTGCAGGCCAATTTTAACATTTTCATGTGATCAGAAGTTATAGGCCATTACTAGGTCCATTAAGTTAAAAGGTATTAATAACCCTTCCAGAAAATCATCACTTCACTGGGTTTTCCTCAAGTATTTAACAGCTGGTCTACAGGTGACATTGCCAATGGAGAAGAGCACAATTACAAAGAAATCCAGTTTAAAACTATACGAAGAAAAATAAAAATAATTTTTCATTCATGGCAGGAGTTAGACAAAAGGCACGTACTTGTATTCCCTTTTAATACTGATAGCAGCACCAATGATGGAGTGATGCATAATTTTTCCCTAACCATGGCAATTTCCAACTTGGCTACTGGGGGGGGAACCACAGCAAGGTTACTTTATTATAAAACAACTTACTAGTCACTTGCCATCCAAGCAGTGCAACAATAACTCAACTAAAGTAATGACAACATTATATGTCAATTTCTTGAATAACAACAAGAAGCAAGAATAGTTCATAATGCACCATTTACTGAGTACCATGCACTATGCTAAATGCTTTCCATATATTAGCACTAACTCTCACAGCACCACATCCTCCTTTTAAAGATGAGGAACCTAGGGTTCACAGAAGCTAAGAGTTGCTGGAGGTCACATAGCTAGGAAATGGCTAACTAGGACTCAAACACAGATTTGACTATTGGCAATCCCATATTCTTTTCCCTCTACCAGACAGTTGGTGGACAGAAAAGGTAAAAGTGGGAAGAGAAGAAAGATACCTCTCCTACAACAAAGAAAACAGGAACTGAGTGGAGGCCAAATTTGTACATTGGTACCTGTCTCTCTCTAAATATAGCTTCCTTCAGCCTAAAACAGAGCCTGGCATGCATGAAGAGTGTCTCATTCTGCTCCACGACCCACTGATAATCAAGAAATGACAATTCCCCAAAGTAATCTGACAACTTCATTATTTTCAGGGTTATTTTCAAGCAACACCAAACTAAGCTACTAGAATCAATCCAAATATGCACTCTCAAATTTAACATTACTCTTGGCAGCCTCAAGAGAATTCAAGAATTTTTAAAGCACGTGTCAATTACTAGATTAAATAACAGTAAGAAAGCCTTCTCTTCTGCCAGGTAATCCCTAATGGATTCAGAACACTGACTAGAACAGAGAAGCACCATATACATAGATTCCAGAAGATAAAACAGAGTTTTATTGTCTAATCAGTTAGGCATCTTTCTCCAGCAGGTAAATGACTTCCATCATTTATTTTCCATGTCACCCATTAAGGCCTTTTATCCACTTCTAACAAGATACACTGATAGCAAAAATTCACTCCAAGAAGGCTTTTTCCAATTTTGTGATTAACAGAACTCACACTTTGAAAAGGGAGATTTGGTTTCGGCTGAGACTAAAAACATGGCAGTTTCTAGTTTCAAAATAAGAGTTGCTCACTGTGTTTTGTAACCTTCATACACTGGGATTAAAACAGATGAAACAGATGAAAACAGGACACCTTTCCTTGAAGAATCTGAGAAAAGTCGTCTCTACACACAGAAGTAGTTTTCTACTCACCTTCCTTGCTTCCTGTTTCTGCAGGCACTGGAAGAGATGCATTGTGCTGGATAGCTGCATTGGCAACAGCGTTAGCTGTTACAGTGAAGGCAGTTTGGGGAACCAACCGGGGCATCAGTGGAACCAAGCGACGACCCTCAATGGACCATTCTGAAGAGCTATTAGGTCCAGACATACTAAACAAAAAAGAAAATGCTGCTACAAGGGTTCTCAATCACTAAAAATGAGTCAACTATTTTCTCAAACAAATATAACTTTTTAAATTATAAAAAGTATCCTGAGTGAATAGGAGAGGCTTTATTTTAAGCAAGCAAAATGAAAATTATGAGTAATTATCAGAATTTAAGGGATTTCACACACACTTAAGTTCTTACACATTTTATTCTATAATATAAATCTTATAATTAACACAACTGAAACTATGAAAAATTTTCCTATGCCTTCTAAATATTGACATTATTTTCATTAGTTTAAATCTGGCATTGCTAATGAAAACTAGTACATCTACTAACTTTTAGAACTTAATTTTGTAATTCAACTAAAAAGGTAAAAAGTACTCGTAATTTTTAAATTAGATTTTCTTTAATAATTGAGGATAGAATTCACTGAACCTTTGCAAAAATGATCTAACTGCCTGCATGGCCAGAGGTTCTAAGGCTTTCAAACAAGGGAAACTGAGGCAGTAAACGAGGGAGACTAAGTATGGAGGGAGAGAAGTGGGCTGTATATATCACTGCATGTGTCATTGATGATGTGTTACATTAGTATCCTTCCTGTTAAAAAATAGACTAGGTCTGAGGTCACTGGAAGAAACCTGCCACTACTACTTTAATTTTACTTATATCACTCTTCATTCTAAGAAATATTTGAGGCCATGGAACTATCCCCCTAAGCAGACACTATTCTGTTTCTCTATCTAAACCTGAGTAAATATCCCAGGAATCCCACTGAAATATGGTTGAAATATGAAAAGACAATTTTGTCACTTCTCTTGATTTGGCTCCACAAAAGGCAGTTACATCACTTCTCCTGATGATTAGTGTCAAGGTTTAAAATTTACCCAGAATCAATTAATCAACCTTTTTACTAAATCAGAAATATTTCTGCACCTTTTCCAAACTGAAGATTCTATAAGCAAATCTAGGGCTTAAGACTCGAAATGTCCACTGATTCTTCGTATTTAGATAGCGTACACAAAAGCCCTTGTTAGTGCATAATGGAATAATGATGATGATGATGATGGTGATGGTAGTTAACATCAACTAAACACTTTTTCTACGTCCGGCACTGTTTTAAACATTTTCTATGTATTAACTCATAATTCTCTCAATAATCCTATGAAATTGGTAATATTATTATCTCCATTTTGTGCATAGAGAAACTGAGTCACTGAGAGGTTAAATAACTTCCCTAAGGTCACACAGCCACTAAATGTTTCTTTCAACAAGCATACATCATACTACTGACATGTGCCACACCACAAGTAGAAAGTATAAAACTTTTCAAAAGGGTTTTATGTCTAATATTTGCCTTTGATTTATACTAATTGGGCACCGTTGTCTAATTACGACCAACTTTCACTGAATGGAACAAATAAATTACTTTACAACTTGAGAAGGATTTACATTCAGTTCAGAAAGGAATTTCTAGGAGCTGATGAATCTAGTTGGGTTACTATGAGAAATTTGCAAACTGTTTAACCAGTCCTACCTAAAACAAGGGAAAGAAGAGTTCCTAAAACCCCAATTAACTTCATAAATTTGTTATCACATCATCTCCAATTTGACACTAGTTCTGAAACAGAGAATGGTATAAACAAGAAAAGAGAAACAGAAGTGTGCTACGGCTAATTGTCAAAGGAAAAAGTTCTAAAAAGCTATTTAGCGTTTTCTTGGCTTACTCCTACTTTGCTATCATTTTATTAGAACATCACTAGTATATTTGCTAGGTGATTGTTTACACACAAATAAAGTGATGTCTACACTTACCTGGTGCATTGTTTAAATGGTGGCAGAAATTATGGAAGATCAATAATTTAAAACACATGAATATTTGCTATTGAAAAGACAGAATTTGCAGTGCAAAAGATACAACTGCAACTTTTAAAAAGATCTGTAAATCTTCCAAATTTCTACTCATGCAAACATGCTCAAACTTTTTTTAAGTGAGTGAAAAATTATGTTAGAATTAGATCAAAAATTCCTATTTGCTTAGTAATGAGGATGTAAATATGCATTAGTTGCACAAATCATCTAAACTGAATTTTACAGATTTTTGTAAACATCTTACTCCAGGGCTTCCCTGGAGTACCTAAGTTTCAATGTAAGGATCGCTTCTCTATTTAGATTAAGGATGGCAAGGGAGGGTAGAAACCTTGCTCCAGCCCCTTTCCTGAGAAATCTAACATGATACTAATGAAACTACCTTGGCCCTCACATCCTTTGGTATGCAGGGCACCGGAAAAAAAATCTTTACCCTCACATAGAAACTCACAGTATCCTATAAATGTCTGGCTTATGGGGAAGGAGTTTAAGAGAACAGTAATTCCAGATAGCCACTTTCTTTGAATACTAGAGACAATGCTGGCAAGAGTGGCACAATTAAAAACTCTGAAGCCCCTTGACGTTCCAGGCTTTAATATTATAATATTCTGACATGTTTCAAAACTGAATTCGAGTATCAAACTTAATAAATGGTCTGGTGCCAAATAATAAACATGTGTTATGCTTCAGGCCATAAGCAAGGCTTTTCTTTGATCCCAGACACCCTGCTCCTTTTGTTTCCACCTCCTTTGTGCTCAATCTTCTCGGCTTTCTCTTCACCTTTCAACCACATTCCTTCAGGCCTAAGCTGCGATCTTGAGTGGGGGAGGGAAGGGAGAGGAGAAAGGGAATGCGGTCAGTTCAGATGCATTCCTCCTTGGCTCCAGTTGCTTTTTTCAGGCTCAGAGTATGAAGCCATCCTATAGATAATCTTTGGATTTAGGTTCTGTTGCTACTTCTGAGGGAAACAGGGCAGAGGAGTTGTAGAGAATAAGGGATCTATGCCTTCCTCACCATTCCACACTCACCGACCCCTGGGCTCAACAAGTAAAATACGACACCTAGTCAAACTAAAACCACAGCATAAAATATTAAAATAAGAGTATAGAAAGACCTAAGAAGCTTTTAAAATTATATGCTGAAGTAAACTCTTCAGAAAATTGAACTCATGTATTAAAGAAATCAGAAAGGAGAGAAAAAAAGGAAACACAGGCAGATAGAAGCCAACTCTCAATTATCCATGCTAATAGAGAGAGGAGGGAAAGGGAGAGGTCAAACAGATTAAAGAAATCCACATATTATCCAAAAATACTTTGGCAAATACTTGTAAATTCTTCCACCAAGCCATTTCCAGGACAACTAACAAGCAGTAAAATGACTAATTAAAATTTTCACCTCCTCTCCCTTCCCACCCTCTGACTAGAGGTACTCCCAAGCAGCAAAATGGCTAAAGGGTGGGCAATATTAGGAGGGGGAGGAGGGGAAGAGAAGGAAAAGCAGAGGGCACGGTTAATTCATAAATGGGAATATGTGCCCCTGAATAATTGAGAGCTTCAATTTTGAAATAATACAAGAAAAAGCCTGAAATAATAATAACCTATTTGCATACCTGTAACTTGGTCTTTCACCCAAATATAAGGATAAATTCATTCTTTAAAGGGGAAAAAAGGAAAAGGAGACTAAATAAATGTTATCCTTTAAGTATGAAACTGATGCATCAACTTACAACTAATTGACCCACAATATTTTTCCAATGCTTTTAAGGTACTAACTTTGTCTCTAAGTGCCTCTGAATGTAAGCTATTGTTTACTACTTTATTATCTAGCACATAAGTTTCCTATTACCATCTCAAATTAGAATCTAGGTTCAGTTATTATTTTTAGACCATCCCAATTCAAAAGTTTAGAGCAAATTAAAGAAGGAACACATTAATATTTGAATGTTTCAACCATGTTGGCCTGACAACTAAGTACTTAATGTCTCTAGTGGAAAAATTCCAAACTTCTACAGTGCATACATACCTACCACTGAAAAATCTCAAAATCCAGATACCTAAACTTTCAAACTACGCAGCTAAAAAGGTAGCACCCCATTTTATAAGTTAAGTAAAATGAGGAATAGCAAAGCACAACATGAAGCTAATGGATCTACAAGGTCAATTCAAATACTGCCAGTTGGTTTAAACACACTATTTATCACACTATGGAACTGCACTGAATTTTTTCGTTTAGTTTTATTTCACATTAAAACATAAAAATAAAAAATAAATGAGTAATATTGTAATATATTTTATTTTTAATGAAATGCTCCTGTCATCTGGCATTAACATTTAAGGATAATTTCTGTTCCTTTCTATTCTTTAGGAGGCACTATCTCCATTCGTATTCTACTAATGTTTGATCCCTGCCCTTAGTCCTCCACCACCCTCCACCCCATCTGTCACACAGTTATAATGATCTGAAAACAATTTGATAAGAATCCTTTATAAATTTTATTTTGTTGGCTTTTTTAAAGTAAATTAAGATATATTCATATTTCTTAAAAGCAGAATATATATTCTTACAATCTTTTTTCTGAATCTCAAAATACATGAAATATTAGTCAGGTAAAAAGAAAATTTATAATGCCTATTTATAAAGCAATACATATACCACATACCATTACAAAGAACCTCTAAGGGGTGTCAAATTAGGGGAGCATACCACTTTATTACTGAACTTTGCTTTAAGTAAGTGAATCATCTGCTAAACTGTGGTGGCCTTTTATGCAGAGATCACATTGTAACTGGATTTGACCTGAGTACTTAAAGCTTGCCTAACCAAATGCAAAAACATAACCAACTCAATAAACAGTTAATACCTCTATGGTCAGGATCCCTGAGCACAGAAATATTACTATTAAGATAAAAGACTCAGGAATCTGCTATACAATAGGAAGACTGTTTCAAAATTATGTTATACTACGTCATAAAAAAATCAGGGGTTGTATGACTAATGGCTTACTTATGTGCAATTGTTGTTAACCGTTCATCGTTTACTGCTCTCCGAACTTCAGCACGGTGGCGCTCTGTTGAGATGCTATGAAAAAAAATAGCCATTATAGAACTCTGCCAAGCAGGCAGCTCTTTTCTACACTTTTATTCATGTTTAAGTCAACATTTTGCTTGGGGAAGAGAGGGGACAAGATTGATTTGTGAAAAGATATAGACGGGGCCTAAAATATATCTTCAGATGCTTTCGTTAAAATCACAGAAAAGGGTTCATAGTGATTCTGTGTAACTGCAGAGAGAATTAGTTGCAAATTAAAAATCACAGGAAGACAAATCAGCTTGATATCAAGTCATTACTTCCAAAACTCAGAAATGTCAGACCATGTTCAAGATTAGCAGAGGTTCCTGTTATCTAAATGTGCAAACAGCCACTGAATGACCCCTAATCGTGGTTACTAAGAGGATTTTGGCACCTAGAAGAAAGTCTTCTGAAGTCTTTTTTTTTTTTTTTAAAAATAAAAACTAAAGTCCTTCCTAAAGCTTAAGAGTCTATAATTTTATGTTCAGTGAATTTAATAAAGAAACAAAAGTGGCAAGATAATCTGTTTCTTGTGGCTATATGCTATGAAATTTGACACCAGGACATTACTCCCTTATTACTCAACATTTCAACTATGTCTTCTACATTACACTATATTACCATTACAGTAAAAATGTGCTTATATTGATTCTGATTAAATACATATAAAGTTAATACTAAACAAGTGAAAAAAGGCTACACCCATTCCATTCGTAAATATTCAATAAAATGAGTAACCATTCTTCAAATTGTAATCTTTACTGCTTAAGCTAAATCTATATCATGGACTAAAATATGTAAGGGGCTGGAAAGAAGATTTATGAGGAAATAGAAACAACAAACAAAAAATATAGAAGTTGTTAAATATGAAGACAATAAGATTAAGGATTTGACTTAATAATATCCCTGTATTAATGTCAACCAAATACAGGAAAAGACTCTTCCCTATTTTCATTTAAAAAAAAAAGAATAGGACAAAATGGTTTTAAATATAGAAAGGAAACTTCAGTTAAAACAGAATATTTTCTGAGAAAGCTCAAGATGTCAGAATGGATCAAGACAAGGTATCAAAGAATTCCATTCAGTAGAATTGTTAACGGCTTCAAGGCCACTCTAGCAGGACACTGAGGGGATAAACTATCCACAGGGCTATGACTATATAAAAACCACTTATTTCTATAAATTAAAACAACAACTTCCTAGTATCTCCTTCTCCCCTCCCAACAAACGCCACGGGCCACTCCAAGTCTTCAGATCTTGTTGCTACCAACTCTTCTTTCCTTCACCCATATCAAAAATACCTCCCCTCCCCAGGTGACCCAAACCTAAAATAACCTGCCTTAAACCCTTTCTGATTACAGAATAAATGATAAATTACATAACTTTCTGCAACAAAGCACACAACTGGGATGAGATATCTAAGCACCAACAACTGGAAAACCTCTGTCTTCAACTTGAGAATGAAAAGTATTAAAACTCCTCAAAATGAAATTTCTAGAGTCATATCTCACAAACTTTTATAATTTACCTAAGAACTTTTGAGAGTTCTCCGAGAAGATCTTTCTTTTCCTTGGTGAGATCCCCCTGTGCCCGAAGTGCACTGATAACTCCAGCATATGCCTCCAATTCTAGAAGAAGAAAATTATTTTATCAAGATAGGCCTTCAATATTTTAATACTGTGGCTATATATAGTGAAACTACAGGGCAAAAAAACCTAGAAATCAATAAAAAAAAATCAATACACAAAATTTTAGAAGTTCCTCTCAAAAATTTTATCTAAGAGCATTGATTAAAATGTAGCTTTCATAATTGTATATCTTTTTTTTATTGCCTCACAGAAGTCATGTGTACAAAGTGTTTAGGTAGAAAAATCTAATGGTAAATATTTTATCTCACACATTATCAATGAAGAACATTTAACTCAGATGCTACCAACAATTGGGAACAGGCTCCAAGTGATACAAGGCTGATAAGAGAAATTTTTAGCTTTACTGACAGGTACCTACCATTACCAATCCTTGAAATAATTCCTTAGCCCTGCCTTGAATCAAACTACATTCTCCTGGGGTTGAGAATACCATGAGTACTGCACAATAGAAAAACTCCTAGAACAAGAGTCAAATGACCAGATTCTGGCTCCAGGACTCCCACTTACTAGTTGTGTGACCTTGGGCAAGTTCTTTCTCACCCTTGAGCCTCAATTTCTTTATCTAGAAGAGACATCGAAGGTATCTTCCAGATCTAAGATCCTCTGCATCTACCATGGAAATGACTGAGACCGGTTAGGAAACATCAGTTGCTCTTATAGCAACCAGGATATAATATACTGAACCCTAGTGCCAGACAGTTTCATTTCACTATCTTTCCACAGCAACAACCATTATGAAATGAAACTGTCAGTCTCCAATACTGGTTAAAATATAAAAGCAAAAAGTCCTCACTGGCTCCCAATGAACCATGCCTGCCTCCCAGCACACTCCTTGGGAACTGTACTACTTTTGTATAGTCCCTTCCCACACTGACTCTGGGCTTGGCATGTGACTTGCTTTGGCCAGTGGAACATGAGCACACATGATACAAACAGAAGCTCACTACCATTTGCCTCCAGAGCCTTGCTGTCTTGGAACCTTGAGATAACCAAGCTGTGAAGAAGCCCAGGATGAAAGGCCACATGGAGAGAGGCCCATCCATCTGAGCTAAGCCCAGTAAACCAACTAAGCTACCAGCAGAATACAGCCACATGAGAGAGCTCAGGCAAAACCAGCAACCACAGAATCAAAAAAATAAATAAAATAGTTGTTTTAAGCCATTAACACTATGAGACAGGCATATCTAAACAAAACAGAATGATGGGAAATAAGTGTCCAAACTACAGTTATCTTCTTAGTCAATTCAAGTTGCTACTAGTATTTGGTATATCCCAAGGCCTGACACACAAATAATGAAGGTATACATATCTGCATCCTAGGTACTACACCAATAATAAACTAGTAGCCTTGTTTAGTTCTTGTTATTCACAGTTCTGAGAGTAAAAAAAAAAAAGTGAGCTGACTATATTAAACAGAAATATCTGATCCATGGGGCACCTGGGTGGCTCAGTCAGTTGGGCGTCTGCCTTCGGCTCAGGTTGTGATCCCAGAGTCCTGGGATCGAGGCCCCATATCGCATCCCTGCATCGCACAGGGCTCCCTGCATCGCACAGGGCTCCCTGCTCAATAGGGAGTCTTGCTTCTCCCTTTCCCTCTGCTCCTCCTCCCTGCTCGCTAGAAAGAAATGCCTGATCCAAATGAATTATCCCATGTGTAAACATCTTGCATATTCAATCTATGCTGAATACTATGTAGATGTTTCATGGGGTCTCTCTGGAAGGACAAAGCTTGCCTGCTCTGAATAGTAAAGGAAATACTTAGTACCACGAAACATATATTTCAGCTTTTATCAGGCCCCAAAGTAGAGTTCAGAAAGGCACTGGGGATAACCAACTAAGAAATCATTATACTAAAAGTTTATGCCTCATTTACGGAATATTTTATTCAATAGATCAGTACTGAGTCCTATTATATATACCATATAGTATGTTAAATCCTGCCTTCAAGGAGTTTACTCTAGAATAAAGCTACAGTGAAACAAGTCATCAGACAATGATGATACAGTTTATAATACAGTGGTAAAAGCAAAGAGAAGAAACACATCATCCAGTCTAGAAGCATAAGCTTTAATCAGAAAGAGAAGTGTGCTCTAAGCAAGCAGGAGGAAAAAAACCACAAATATGCAAAAGGAATACAGTAAAAGAGCAAATAATGTCTCATATAGACATCAAACTTCCAGTAACAGTCGGTGACTATTTTCGGAGTTTTACTTTAGGGAAAGTAAAAATATGTATTTGGATAGTCACTAACTCAAACCAAACTTAATTGCACATTACTACTACTACTACAAGGTACCATGGAGAATATTTATATGAATAAAACAAAGTCCCTATCCTCAGGTATTTAAATTCCAAGAAGAGATGCATATACAGGAATAAAGAAGGATGAAAATGGAAAAGTAGTTTGGGGCCAGACTAAGCCTCTAATTTCAGGCTAAAAAGTCCTCATTTGATAGAGGACTCGGTAGTTGATTGAATGTGGAAAGAACAGCAGAAGGAAAGGAACCAGATTTTGTAGTTTGCAAGATATTTAGGAGAAGGGCAATACCATAAAAAGAAATGGAGAGGTCAGAGAGAGGAAATGGTATGAGGAAAAAGAAAAAGAAGTTCACTTTTGGCCTATGCAATTTATGGTGATCAAGATACTACTTCAAAAAGATTGAAATTAACCAAAGAAATGCGGCAAAGGTTTTTGACATTTCAAGTCTCATTCCAAGTCTAACTAAAAAGTCATGGACAAAAGTAAGAGGTGGTAACCTCACACAAAACTGGGACTCAGACCACAGTTATCATAGTCACACAATCCGAGGCACTTCCTCCATTCTCCAGAAATTCACTCACAGTAAAGAACCTTTACTGGCTTCCCAACCTCCTTGACATTTGATTTCCATTTTGATGGGTATCCTCAGATCCTGACAAATATCAAACTTAGCTGAATTTCTGGTATTTTTGGTGCCGTTCTATTGTAGTGTTCACTCTAATGACACATAACTATAATAAAAGATACATGCAAACACCACGGAAAACAAAAAGATTTCCCAAACCACTCTATAAAGTCCTCAACATTCCATTTAAACAAATCAGCCGTTCAATTATAATATAGTCTGTGAAGCCCCATGTTGGAAAGGTTTTTAAAAAATAAGGCAGGGGAAAGGCAGGATAGAAGGAGGGAAGCATTTATCCATCACTGGTATGTTCAGTATATTACTAAAAAAATTCTCGACCCGAGTTTTTATATTTAAGTAAAATTTAAATGTTTAGTATTCTATGTTAAATGATTTATAACTATTTTTAAAAGAACAAAGCTAATTCTTAAAATATTTTAAGTTAATTCTTAAATACAGTACTTTCTCTAAACTTTGGACCTAGAGCTAAGTGTTTGAAGGCAATTCAAAAGTTTCATTGTTATGATAATGAGCCAACGGGTGGGGAGGAAGTCTTTCTGCAAATCACTATCAAGGCTCACCTCCCAAAGTGAAGGGTCATTGAAGATGACATTACCCTGCAGGAAGGCTGTTTCCTTTTGTATAGAAACAGCTCTCTAGCAACATTACCCACACAGCTCTGGCTAAAGCTAAGGATAAATTTAGACTTAAAGGTTACCATTTTTATATTTAAACATAATCTCTTGACTCAAGGCCCCAAAAGCCCAGAAACTCTAATCCAATCTACTGTAGTTGGGCTCTGTTCATCTGCAATTATTCTAGCTATGGAGTAAATACCAGTACAACTTTATAAATGGTAGCTAGCAAGCTACAGCAATTGCATGCAAGTGTGTAGAAAATCATCCTCAAATTAGTACTAAAAGTTTGGATATAAGGTTAAAGGAAAAAAATGATAATGGATGATTGCCCAAAAAAGCTCTCTAAACATGCTAAAATACAATGCTAAGAAATAGTTTAAAATCAGAGAATCCTCCCAGTGGCCTGATGGGAAATAAAAAGGGTAAATGTTACTAGCAGACAGGACCAGGGCAGCTATGATTCAGATTTACACAAAAGAATTCCCAACAAAGATTTCCTTTGAAGATTCACCTGCAAATAAGTATGTCTGAAAGCAACTGCTCTAAAACACTATACCCTCAGATGTCAAGCACCGTGGTAGGATCCTTTTATATACAATTAATCCACATAACAAACTTATGAGGCAGATATTATTATGCTTCTTTTACAAAAGTGTCAACAGATTTAAGGAGATTAAATAAACTGTCCTTGATCTTGTGGGTCATTAGTGACAAGACCAAGACCCCAGGTCCCTCTGAATTCAAGGCCCACACTTTCCCCTTCAAAATCATAAACAAATAATTCATATCCACTTCCAAAACACTTAATGTTCTTTTTCAAATTATTTTTTCATTTACTGAGCACCCACTATGTGCTAGCTTGGGACTATAGTGGTAAAGAAGACAACAAGGTCGTTCTTGGACCTTTTGGTCTAAAGCAGTAGTTCTCAACCAAGGATCCTCACTTGAACCACAGAATATAAAAAATGACTTGAGTAACTCTCTCAATTTTCCCAAGAATGGTACAAAACTATTACCATTCGAAATGCATAAAAAGAAGCTAGTTCACTACATACAATGGATTAGGCTTTGAATTAGTGCTAATTCTCTCCCTAAAATGCTAGTTGAGAAAGGCTGCTCTAAAGGAAAAGAAGCTCAAAATAATGAATTATAAACATAAAGCGTGTTTTATTACTGACAGTAAACATAATTTAGGAAAGTCAGCATAGCTAACATTTACTTAGAATTCAGAAACAGTTTATAATTCACACATACATTCATGAAGGTTAAAAGTATGCTAAAGTAAGACTGGAATCATATTCCCTGGGTTACAGTCCTGACTCCATGACTTACTATCAGCATCACCTTGGGTTCTAAGCTTCAGTTTTGTCATCTGTAATATGGAAACACACACACAAAAATACCTACCTTTCCCACTTGAGTGAGGATTAAATAAGATAGCGAATGTAAATAACTCAGAATAGCCCAGTACCCCTCAAGAACTCTTAGCTACTATTTTTATTATTATGGTCCATAATAATCCTACTAAGTACAAAGCACTATGCTAGGCACTGGGGAAATAACAATGAGTAAGATGAAAAGTACACCTCTAAAGAATTTCTAATGCAACATGAGATATCACATCCAGGCAAACAGTCATGACAAAAACAGAAAGGGAAAAGTATCATAGAAACGCATAAATATCAAAAATGAAAATCATACCCAATTTTCTAAGAATCCTTTTGCATTCATCCCTGCTGAGATCCAAAAGGGTTGGCCACACAACAGGCATTGCTGCTTCTTTTTGGTAGCCCCAAAGAGCTTGTCTTCCCTACCAAAACAAATGAAACAAAAATCAAATTACCAAAGTACATTCAAAGGCCACTTACCTGGAAATCCACCCACTAAAAAGTAAAACCAGTAAGAACATCTCACAATCCTATTTCACCACCACACTTTTCAACTTCTGATAAACGAAGAACTAAATATTCCGCAGCTCATTATTCCAGCACAGGAGAGTGAAAAGAGCACAGGTTTTAGAGTCAGACACCTCTGTTTCTAGTTCCAGCTTTCAACTCACTGGCTGGGTGATCCTGGGTAAAGTGGACTATCTGAGCAAAAGTTTTCTACATCTGTAAAACAGAGGTACTATCATCCAATTTGTCGTAAGGATTAAAGAACAGTTTGTGAAATTCTTATGATAGTGGCTGGCATGTTGTTTAATAAATAGGTGCTACGACCTGTGGAACCTTGCGCAAGTTACCTGATTTGTGTCGGCTTTCTCACTTGTGAGTTACAAGAGATAAAATATATAAACCTCCTAGCACGTTACCTGGGCTAATGGAACTTAACAAAAAACTTTCTTCTCAAGTCTTAACAATGAACGATAAATTTACACCCTGTAATCATTAAACAATCATTTACCAAAAGTTTAGATGTCAGGAACTTACTTCATACTGGGAACTGCCTGGTCTAGAGGATAAAAAGACAACAGCGCTGGGCACTTGCACAATACCTGCTTAGCACACAGTAGATCCACTGTAAATATTTGTTAAGTAGATGAATGAAAATAGAGAAGAGTGGGTAAAATGAATGAGTGAGTGAGTGAGTGAGTGAGTGAGTGAGTGAGTGAATGAATAAGCGAGCTCAATGTCTAGTCGAGAAGTCAGGCACCGAACCGTAATAACTGCTATGTCTCGTTCCAGGCACTGGGGCTGCTAACTCCAACTCTGCGCCCGGAGTTGATCCCCCCTCCTCCGACTTCCCATAGTCCTCTCAGCTACGAACCAACACAGAGCAAGGAGAACTGGACTGCGCGCCCCAGCCGGCAGGATGACATAAAGAAAAGGGGTGGGGAGGAGGAAGAAGGGGCAGAGCCAAAGGAATCCGCTCCCTCCACAAGCCAGTCCCCGCCCCCCGACAGGATCTTGGAGGCGGCCCGCGACCGCCCGAATCAAGCACCACGTCACGGCATCCCGACGCGTCCCCGCCAGCGCACCCCACCGCGGGGCCGCAGCGCCCTGGAAATCTGGGCAGCAGTTGCGGGAGCCCGCTCTGGAGCCGGGATCTCGTGTAATCCTTCCCCTACTCAAGTGTCAAGGAGGCAAGCCCGCCCCGCCCCCTCCCCAAACACGCACTCTCTCGCAGCACCACAACAAGAGCAGCCCGCCCACCCTCCTCACCGGTGCCGCTCAGCGCCAACCCCAATGTCAAGCCCACTACCCAAGCCCTTCAAGACCAGTAGCCGGTGTCAGGGGCCCCGGCCGGCATCAGCGCCTCGCTCCCTCCTCAGCGGAGAAGACAACGGAGAGAGAGTAGGCTCGCGGACAGCCAGGCAGACGACCGAGACTCACCGGAAGGCTCCCAGAGCTGGACCCCTAGGATCCCAGCACCAGGCCTGCCAAAGTCCCCCTCAGTCCATCTCGGGGAGCCCCCACGATCCCGTTAGGAGACAACGGAGGATGGGGCTGGGCGCCCCAAGCCGGGGACCAAATGGTTGGCCCGGCGCTCCTCCAGCCTGGCTAACCTGCCAGCTCTTCCCAGCACCCTGTCTGAGAGTCACCCACCTGCCCGGCCTTTCGGGGCTCATCTAAAAGGCTCCTCCGCCAAGACTAGGAAACACCAGGAATTGGGTTTGTTTGCGGTGCCTCAGAAGGGGCAAGATGGCGACAGGCATCAGGGCGCAGGCGCACTCGCGCGCTGCCAATCGGGAGGTGTAGTTCGCCTTTCCCGCCTTTCGGAGAACCGACTCCAGAAGGCCTCCATTCTCCTAGTCCCTCTTTTCCTCCGCGTTTTGAAAGGAAAGAGGAGACATCGCGGGAGGTGCTGGGAGTTGTGGTCCGGACCCAAGCTCCCTTGTCTTTCGCTCTCGGTATGCTGTCGCAGGCGCAAGGAAGGCCGGGATTGTAGTTTCCTTGGCTTCTCCTCCATACTCTTCTCTGGCTTCGCGCGCCTCTCCTCTGGCTGCCGTCTCCCAACCAATCGGCTGGGCTCTCTGCTACGTGTGGCGTCACACGTAGAGGCCAAAATGGCGTCGGTAGCTGGAGCTGAGGCTTTGCCGCGACCTTTACTCTAGGCGAGGTTAGGGACGGTAGGAAAGCAGCTTTGTCCCTGAAGCGCCGTTGAGGATTAGGATCGGATTCCTCAGAATCATGGGAGCAATTATCAACGGCCTCCAGCCCCCACCAGGCGCAACTCGAGGAGAGAATCCACGCTACAAGAACCGACGTAGCGGACGTCGCAATTGCCCGAACCAAATCTGGGGGTTGCGGAGTTGCCAGTGGAGAAGGGGAACCTGAGCGTTCTCCGCTTCGAGTTTCTCCACGTGTGAAGTGGGAATGATAGTGATATCTCGTGCTTTAGCTGTCAAGGGAAGAAGGAGAAGGTATTTATTAGAGGCCCTACGACGTGGTAGGTTCATCCTTCAGCCTTTGTTCTTATTTAATCACAGAACAATTGTGTGAAGAAGGTATTGTTGCCCTTATTTTACATATGAGAAAAGGGGCCCAGTGTGTAGTTACTCGCGGCCATAAAATCGAAGCCAGTGCTTGGTATTGTGGAAGATTCAATCCAAGTTTTGTGATTGTCCTTCCTCTTAAGTTGTGTCCTTTTGGAAATGTAGGATCTGGTAAAAATGCCATGTCAAAGGGGGCTCTTAATATGCTTTCTGATATTAACAAAGTTTTCATGTAAAATGGGGTTAATCGCACCCTATGGGGATGTTGTGATACACAACGTAGAAAAAAGTTATTTGTAAATTGTGGACCACTGTGCAGAAGTGTGAGACTGGTCATATTCTTGAATGGAACTATAGATTAAAAAGAGAAAATAAATAACAGCATTTAAGTTTCTTACTACTATTTACCCATTAGCTAAAAAATACTCTGTGAGGTCCCAGAAAATTGTTATTGTTGAAACCCAAGCCTGCTCCTTCAGAAAGTCATGAAGTGGGACAGATAATACCCAGGCCCTTCTCTCCCTCCTTGATCTTACAGTGCATTCTCCTCCATCTATTTCCCTCCTGTTTTCAGGTCAATTATTTAACTTCTGGAAAGATGGGAAAAGAAACTTTAATAGGTTTTGTAGTTTAACATACATTCTTTGAGCCTCACAGCATCTCAGAGAGGTAGGTATAATTTAGATCCTCCCCCCACCCCCACAAACACTTCTGAATGAGGAAAACACAGAAGTTGAAGAACTCCCCCAGTTTCACAAAGCTAGGAATTGAAGGAGCTGGACTTTATAACCCTCAGTCTTCTGACTACCAAGTGTCTTCCTCTACAACAAATGTCAAGGTGACAGTAATGGAGTAGAAATGGAAAGACAAGCTGCTTATAAAACTGACTCTGACCATAATAAGTAGCATATAAGTCAAGAATTATAGCTTACTCTTGTGCTTACCTGGTGCCAAGTATTTTTAAAATAAGCATCTCACGTATAATTCATTTAGACCTTAAAATTTTATGAGGTAGAAACTATTATGTCCAATTACAAATGAGAAAACCGAGGCACAGGAAGGAGGTTAAATAGCTTGCCTAGAGTCATACATTCTAAGTAAATGGTAAAGCCAGGACTTAAACCCAAGCAGCTTAACTCCAGTGTCTGCTCTAGACCAGTGGTTCTCAAACTTTTCATGTTCAGTAGGAATCACCTGAGGATCTTGTTAAAAATGCAAATTTTGACTGAGTTATGTCTGGGTAGGGCCTAAGATTGTATATTTCTAACAAGCTCTCAATCTACCACATATCTTCTCTTTTCTCCTAACTATATATATTTGTATTTGTGGCCAGAATCTGCCTTCTCCATTCTGCCTCTGATTGTTCCATGTTCCCAAATATTCCCAATATTAAATTCTCTTCCTTAAGGGTCAGAGTCAAACACCCTCAAGAAACTTATCCTGCCCCTGACTTTCCCTCTAGGGTAAGACAGGCATTCCTGCCTCTGCTTCTATACATTTTTTTTTTTTT